CGGGTAGGTAGGTTTAACTTTATCAGTCCCAGAAACGCCTTAAGTCAAGTAATAGTAATTCCAGATCCCTTTTCTGAGTTAACATCCTTGCCAGAGACAAATTTTTATATAAATAACCCTGCTTTTAAGGAAAAGATTCCTGTTTCATCAGGTGAGAAAAGGTCAAAAGAGAAACCATATTTTTGCCCGAGATCATGAAAAAAAAAAAGACTAATTTTTAGGCTTCTATTTACTAGTCTTTTGTCATATATTTTAGTAGGCTATGTTGTAGAGGTCTTCACATAAGTATCACAATTATTTGCATTTATTCAATGAGGAAATTAATCTAGGTGGAATGAAGGGGTCTCCTTTGGTCAGGAACCCCATTTACCAAATATCATTTTAAATACAATCAGCTACTTATAATTCAACTATTTACTGACTGTGTGGCATTTGGCAGTTGGCTAAACATTTTGGTTTTCTTATCATCTGTTATGTTTACTATGAGTACTGGAATGAAGAACAATTCCAATGAAAAGTGTAAAGCATCTATCATAGTGAAGAATTGAAAGAGAGTCTCAATACCTAAGTTATTAGCTTCCATTTTCACATTGGAAAAAGAAGGCAATTACCCAATTTTATAACTAAAGTGCCCAGATTTTGTAACTAAAGTTCAGTTTCATTAGAATAGATTCCATTTACGTAACTGCACTTGTTGAATTTAAGACATTTCATTACATTTTCTAATCAGCTTATTTAATTATTGCTTAGCAATTTACTGCTTTCTCTGTCCCTCCCGGACAGTAAAATAGATAAATCATCCATGCTTTGATAAACCTGGAGAGAGTTTTGTCTTGTGGCTGAAGTATAGCCTGTGATAACAAGTATTGTTTACTGCTCCTATTAGTCACTGTCTGCCCTGGAAAATACTGAAAACAGAGCTTTGAAGAGAAAACAACAGATTTCATACGACTCCAGTAAGTGCAATGGTAGCCACATATCTTGGTAGAAATGAAAATTAATTACAGCTCTCCCTTCAAATTGGATAGACTTATCTTTAACATGCTGTAAAAATGTGGAGAAGACCAAAGAATCTATTTCTACTGAAAAAGTTCAAAAATATTTTCAAATGGATACAGAAAAATGTAAAGCTGTGAATAGATGCTGAACTCCTTGTGCATGCCATTGGCTCACTGTGTGAATAAAGGGTCAGGGAGAAAAGTATGATATTCTGTGTATGGCTGCCTAATAAACTTAATTATTGCACAGGATTGTTGTGAGGCTTACACAAGTAAATGCATGTAAAAGTCCTTTGCAAAGTAATTCATATGATAGGAAGTGGAAACATGGATAAAAAAATTTTTATGAACTAAAAAAAGACCTGTATAACTTTTAATAAATATGCAAAAATCTCAACTAGTGTATATGAAACAGAATCTCTATTCCCACTCAGAAATTTTAAATCAATTTCAATCCAGAAGAATAAGCACAATAGCTGTTCCTTTTTACTCTGTGATTAACACTCCCACATATGGATAGATGGTCACTCAAATTCAGTACTAATTTTTAATGTGATACTCTAGAGGGAGGTCAATAACTGCCTTCTTATTTTTTGTCTATTTCTTTAATATTCTCCTGGAGGCCAACTCCTGTTATAGCAAAAGATATGGGACAGTTCAAGTGTTTGCAACAGTGTGGCACTTTGTTATGCAATTCAAAGGCAAGTATGTCTTTATCTTTCCAACTACCCAGCTTTATTTCTGCCAAAGAGTGGTAAAAGTGAAAAGGAAAATATTTGTGGGAAAATGGGTGAAAAATGATGAGAAATGTAACAGACACAGATGGTATTGCTCAAGTTAGAACTTTTCTAATTTGGGAATTTCACTAAAATAGGTTGGCTGGCCATTTCAGGGATACCTTACAGGGTGGTAGTTCCCTAGACAGAGGCTATCTTCAGGTTCGTAGTCCCAGAAAAGCGATTTTGTCAGTGTCGCCCTAAAGAAATAGGATCCCGGGAACTGATTCATGGAACTAAGAACAGCAATTGGATACTGACCAGAAAGTCACAGAATTCAGTACAAAGAAAAGTATGAGTGTCCAGGTCTGCTCAGCAGCTATGTCAGCTGCTCAAGATATTATTCCCCTCTGAACGCAAAGCTGCAAGCAAAATTAAATTATTTTGGCAGGCTGCTTAAAAACATGGGACAGGAACAAACTAAGCTCAGTTCAGTTCAATTTTGGCTTGTAGCATATTTCAAATATTGCTGAGTACCAGACACACAAAGATCAATAAGATAACACTCTACAAGCAGGGAGATCAATTCAGTGGGTAAATGGATAATCTAGTTAAACCAATTGGCTTGAGAGGTACATAGGAGATTAGTAAAGCTCTCCTCTGTGTGTATCTTGGTGAGTGTAACCTCGGGGACTGTATCTGCTCCCTGCCCTTTCTTCTTGGGCTCTTTCCATGTCTCTCTGCCTCCCAGCTGACCTGGGGTGAGAAGATGTCCTCCGCCATGCCCTTCTGTGTGATATTTCTGCCTTGGAACCCGCTGACCGTGGACTAAAACCTCTGAAACCTGAGTCAAAATAGACCTTTTCTCTCGAAGTTGTGTCAGGTATTTTGCTTCGCAGCAGAATGTGACTTATATGATGGCAAACAGAAATGTAAGCATATTTTTATATTGACCTGGGTTCTTACCTGCAAGTAACTGAAACTAGCTAAATTTTCTTTCTGTAGAGTAAGAATTTACTCAAACAATTAAGGATTGTTTGAGAAATAATTAGAAAGTGGTTGGGGGCCATATAAGAAGGAAAAATGCCCAAAATCACATAGGAGCAGTCTGGTGAGGACATGGTTGCCACCATTTCCAGTAGTAAACATTGCCCTTGGCCTTGTCTAGATCCATTGACATGATCTGAGGCTCCTGTCTCCCTTCTCCAATCCTCTACTATCGTGGCACTGGGTGTTTGAGATGTTTTCTAATCATGATGCCCAGAGGGTTCCTCATAGTCCTTACAACTTTTTGGCGGGCCCAGCTAACTGAGTCATTCTAAGGAGACTCCCTACACATTACCTGCCATTAATCTAATACTCCTTAAAAAGTGAAATATTCTTTCTATTCTGTATATTAGACGCTATAGCTTTATCTGATTGATCAATTTCCCCAGCTTCTTAACCAATAAGTAAGAAGAAAAAAGTGACAAAGGCAGGTATGTCTTGTAACAAGTTTAATTTTTGCAGTACATCAAATGTAACCTAGAATGGTTTTGGTCTTGGTCATTTTATTCAGAGTGGACTGGAGTCAGAGGGTCTGTCTCATGATATTTAAGCATATGAGATTGGTTGGCAATTTTGGATGTTGAGTATTATAAGTCAAACATTTGGTCAATCTGCTTTCTTCTGCGGACTACATTGAAAGTTCACTGAACAAATCTTACAGTTCTTTTCTCAACAGTATATAGATACAACCCTTTATGGGCAGCACCTTCTTTATCCATACAAATAAATAATAGCATGGGGGACATTTTCTAAGTCCCTCAGTTCAGGCATAAGATAAAACCCAAGCCCTTTGCTTGAGCTTGAGTGGTTCTCCATTCTCCTCTGACTCACATTTACAAAGCTTGTCCCAGGACAGGTAGAAATCTTACACCTGCACATTTGCAAAACACATCAACAAAATTATGTCCCAAATAAAATTACATGAACTCTGCTAACTAGCAACAAAACTATTGGCCTTTGAATCTCAAATCTCTTCCTATTCCTTCTTCCAGCTTTCTCAGGAGCTACACATAGTTGATCCCTATGAGTTATATTTTCCAAGATTCCCTTCACAGTGGTTCCTTGTAGGTTCTGTCATCAAATGGTAGATGACATCAGATGGTAGACACTGATAGGAATTTAGAAGGCAGGGAAACTGAAGTGAGCAGAATATTTCTTCTCTGTTGCTCTATTTGAATTTGTATCTTGGTGATCCTGATTTAACTAGGACTTGGATAATTCCTTTTCTTCCATTTCTTGCCTCAAGGAATTTCAGTGGCTTTCAGATGTTATTAACCTCTATATTATTTCATTGTCCTCTATATGACTCACTGGTGCTCTGTTATTAATCTTCTCTATATTATATTTTCTCAATTCAGCTAATTTGGCAAAGGCCCTATTTTCCTGACAAGTCCCTGACAGATACTACTATCAACAATGTTTAAATTGCCAATAGAAAGAAACATACAAATACTGCAATTGAAATAGAAGAAAATCAAATGATGATGAAATAAAAATATCAAATATCACATAAAGAAAAGAGAAGCATCATGAATTACAAATAGTCACTTAGGAAATGAAAAGTCCCTGTGCCTGTGCAATTGATCATAATGGGCTAAAAACTGAGAAAAAGTAATTTTTAAGAAGTAAAAAAAATCGCTTGATTGGCTAAAGCTCAGCATCGGTTAATTCACAAGAAGGACAGGAGTTTAGAACATAAATCCTGAAAGATGAAGGGGTTCTTTTGATCAGTCTGCCACCTTGAGCCTTGACCTACTCCAGGAGCTGGAGGTCATGCAAATCTGCAATCATTAAAATGCCTGGCGAAGAAGCCAGAGAGGAGGCTACAGCTGGCAACAATCTCTCTGAGACTATCGAGGAGAGAAGTCACCTGCCTCAGTGCACTGCAGTATGGAACAATTTGGGGAAAGAATGGGGCTCGGCGGTGTATGCATCAGCCAGATGGAGAAGAGGGTTCTTTGTTTTAATTTTTTGATGGAACAATTTATCTTCAATTTTATGGAGATGCCTCCAGGAATAAACTATAAATTCAAAATGTTCTTGGTGGCCTTAGACTTACAAAGAGAAGCATTTTTGGAAAAGTACTCTTAAGGGACCTTGCCCTCCTTTCAAAGGAAAGTCACAATGCAATAAGTAGCCAAAAATTTTAAAAATATAAAATTCACCTTAATATTTTGGCCTTATAGAAAAAACTATCGGGCTGTTGTGAATTTAACTTTCATCTTAATTTCTATCCAAGGTCAACACGGAAGCCCTACAGCATGAGACAGTTTGGGAAATGTGAACAGCATCAGCTACTTGTGCAGCATCCACCTTCCATTACAACTTTGTCATTCTCTTCTCCTACCTACTCATAAAGGAATGGCTTTGTAGTAATAGTAATTGCAATCCAGTCACACAAAAGGTAAAGTTTTAGTTAAAAATTTTAAATACGCAAGTGAGATGAGGAAACCCACAAGAAATATGTCTTCCCTAGATGTATTAAGAGAAAGCCAAAAAGCTCTCCAAAAACTCTACAAATGTGAGGATTCAAGAACGTATCAGGAAGGGAAAAAATGTTCAAAAACTGGATTAAGATTTTCTTTTATTAATGTCAATAACTTAAAGTATTGTCTTTTGACGTAATCAGGAAAATGAATAACAATAGAAATGGATCCTAGACATACAAAATCTACATATTGAAATTTTTAGACTATGTAGAGATCTAAGTCTAGTATAGTCTCTTTATTCATTGGATTTATTGAACTCATTTTTTTCTTTTTTGCTGTATGAGGGCATTTTCCTAGTAACTTATCATAAAATGATTGTTCCACTTCAATTGATTCTAATTTACAAATTTAAAAAAAATCTTTGATATAACAAATTTGTCATAAGCCAGTAGTCAAACTACTGGTTTGCAAAGAAAAGTCATTTCTCATTTCTTTGCTAAAAATTCATAGCCCATCTAACAATGTATAGTTTTAAAACATATGTACTTTCAGTTTAAATAACACAGCGTAGGAAATGCACTTTGTCTTGACTGCGTGAATTGCATCAGACGTTAGACGCAGTGAGTGAGATGGAACAGGATAATTACCTTTGGGATTGCAACTATTTTGACTCCACCTATGTCAGGCAAGAAGATGGCTGTTATAGCCACATACTGTGGCTATTGTAAGGAATTCTGACTGTCTGCATTTAGCAACTGGGAATATGAAAACAAACATCATTCCAACTAAAACAATAGTCAAAGCAACCTTTTCAATTGAGTTGTTGCTTGCAATGGTGAAATTGTAGTACACACCACTTGGTGCACTTGCAGCCATTTCAACTTGCGTTTTTCTCAGCATTTTACACATCTTTTATAAAAACTCTTTTTAAGAAACCAGACTACTTGGCAGTCTTCACAGTTCTCTGGGCTCCTCTATTTATCTTACAGGCCACATCTGGGAGACTATTACCACGGAGGCCAGGAAGAGGAGCGGTCCCACTGGCCTATAGGGTTCAGGTGCAGGATTCCCTCCAGGGCAATGCTCCTCTGGACCGCAGACTACACCTGCCTGGAACACGCTGGAAGCTTGTCAGAATCACAGTGATGCCCTTCTGTTTCCTCGCCAGCCTTTCACCAAGACTTGGGTGGTGAGCTTAACAGCAAACCTGGTTTAGCTTTGCTGGCACATGCTATTTTGAGAAAATACTCAAAGGTCCTTCCTGTCATAAAACACTGGATAGAGGAAAGCTAAGAAAAGTCCAACTTTAATTTCATGAATTTGCACTTGCAAAAACACATATCTTCACTAAAATTAGGAAGACTTCAGAGTTTGGCTCTAAGCAAAATTCCAGTCCTGGGATGGAAGGATTGAATGCAGATTTCTGCTGTGGGCAAAACCTCAATATTATTTCTAGACAATGGGGTTTTCTGTGGTGACCACGGTGGCACTCCGCACATTGAGTGGCCACAAGCCAGTTCTGTTTTCTCCAGTGGACTTGCCAGATTGGCTGAGAGAGAGCATTTTCATACAGACCGGTAATGTGTCTGGTGGAACTTGGGGGAAATCAGTCCAGTTAACTTTTCTAAAAGAAAAAGTGAATGATGGTCTAAATGCTCAGAAAAAAGATGTTAAATTGCTTCCAAGGGGTGCAGTAAAGACCCAACTCTTCTTTAAATCTGGAGAAGTAACCTCAAGCAAGTTCTCCATGTTTAAAAATGATCTCAGTGTGATTTATATCAGCATTCAAAAAAACTTTATTGCTCTATGAATCACCCGAGGGTCTTGTTCAAATGTAGCTTCTAATTCAAGGTTTTGGATGAGACCCCACATTTAAGCAAGCTTTACACAAGTTTGAAGCTGCTGGCATGCCCACCATAATTTGAATGGCAGAGATTTAGATGGCATATGATAATTCACCTAAGCTATGGGTTCCCCAATGCTCAATACATTTAATTAGACAGTACAGCTAGCTGGGTGTAATCCCAGCACTCAGAAGGCTGAGGCAGGAGGATCTTGCTTGTTCCAGGCCAGCCTGGGCTAAATAGCAAGACCCTGTCTCAAAAACAACCAAAAAAAATTGTACAGCTGATAATAGAGAATGTAACTGACAAAGGTATCAACACATCTTGGGTTTCTACCCTGTAATAAAATAGACACACACACTAAGTTGGCTGGATTTTCAGGATACAATACTAAGTGAAAAAAGTCAATCCCTACAGTTGTGTATTATTTGATTCTATTTATGTAACACTGTTGAAATAATACAATTTTAGAAAGGGAGGGTAGATTGGTGCTTGTGGGGGGATGGAGATGTAGATGAGGGAGAAGGTGGATATGATTCCATGCAGATACTAAATTAGAAGATGAAGCCATAGATGAGGAAGGAAATTGGAGAACAACACAGTGTCCCAGCCCCAAAGATGACAAAAGCACCAGTCAGAGTCTTCCCTCTGTTAAGTGGCTAAATTTTCTCTAAAGTAAGAGTAAATGTGCAATTCACTTTTTTCCCTTCCACTTAATACAATCTATATGATTGACTGGAGTCTATTGCAATGCAAATTTTTCCTCATTTTATTTTATTTATTTATTAAAGCTGACCGACATATTTCTTTGAAGTGGACCTGAACTCTGAATCTAGCAAATATTTTTAAATTTTTAAAGATACTTCTCAATCAGAAATAATTAGGTTTATAATATCATAGAGAAACCTCCGTAGGAAATTAGGGCCTGGCGTCGTGGCACATGGTCTGTATTCTCCAGCAGTTTGGAGACCTTCTCTCAAAAAAAAGAGAAAATGAAAAGAGAAAGAAAGCAAAAAGATAAAGAAAGACCCCCTCCTTAGAAAATTGTGTCAAGTAACACGTACCACCTCACATCATTTCTTGCAAGTGGTTGTTGTGATAAATTTTTCATCTTTAATCCATCTCCCAGCTGTCACAATGGAAAATACAGTTCTTGGACCACAGATATTTCCCTGCTTCCTTCTCTCAGCACATCATTTGCTCTGGTAGCTGTGTCTTTCACCGGAGGATTCGCCTTGTCAAGTCAGCCTGGGCCAGAGAGCTTCCATTTACCTATCCAACTCTGTTGTCCTTAGTTCCTCCCAGGGTCCTCCGCAACATGAGCTTGACCTTTCTGGACAATATAAACAGACACCTTGGTCATCTGTAGTCAGACACAGGGAGATGAGTGTTTTGGTTGCTAGCTCCCTCCCTCAGGAATCCCCACCTGTGGGATGGCTGTACACTGGCGATCTTATGTGACCAGGGCTATACCTCTCATCTGCTGACCCTCCACACACAATTCTCTTTGTCTTTGGCTTCCACAGTCACTTCCTCCATTTATCCCTCCAGGGAAGAGCAACAGTGGTAGCCTCACTCCCCCTTCCACCCCAGTGACTTTTCTATCCCTCCTGGTTTCCCACACTGAGAACATTGTAAATAATGACTTCGTCAGATCCTCTTTAAATTATTTATTTTGTGTATGTCACTTGCTCTGACTGATACAGAGTGGAGTTTGGTTTTGCTTGTTTGCTTTTTGCTAGATATTTACTTTCTCAACTTCTTTTGCAAATCAGAGTGATTAGGTCATCTGATTCTTCCCAGTTGAGCATAAGGGACCATTGCTCCAAAAAGTAGCCATCCTGCTTCCTGCCTGCAAAACGTAGATGTTTGGAGATGTAGGATAAACTGAGCAATGAATTCCTGATCACGAAGTGTGGTGAGCCTGAGGACAGAAGCCAGCACACAGAGGAAGGTGAGAGAGAAATGGCCAAGATGTCCTAGGCAGTGAGGACACCACTGATCCACCATTCCAACTGGGCCTGATGTCTTGTTAACAGTGCAACATGTGCCCTGAAGACTCAAACTTCTATTGACCAGATTTTCTTTGTCTGCAACCAAATCGTTGTTAACGGATGGAGACATCTATCTTTATTGCAAATAAGACTTCCCCACATTCGTGCTTCACGTTGCCCAGTGGTTCATCAACATCTGGAGAATAAATTAATGCGACAGGCAATATCCTCTGTGATTCTCGGACACCTTCTGCTTCTCTACGTCAGTGTGTCCCTCTTGCATGCTACACTGCTCACTCCAGGCTTGCATAGGTCCTTACAGAGCGTGGCTTTTCTTTTATCTTTGGTATTAGGATCTCTCTCTCTCTCCCTCAAGAACATCTTTCCTGTCTTCTTTTTCTAGTTTATCTCTTACTCATATCCAAGGATTATAGTGAGCAGAGTAGGTCAGCATTATTTTCTTTTTAGTTATAGAAAACCAAAATCTATTCTGGATTACTCAAAAAGTGGAACAAATGGCACAGTTTTTGTGCAGTGTTTTTGTCTATTTTGTGTTGCTATAACAAAATGTCTGAGGCTATTAACTTATTTTAAAAAGAGAAAATTTAATGAACCCCTAATTTTGGTGGATGGAAAGACCAAACATAATGGTGCTGGAAATGGTTGAGGGACCCCTGGCTGTGTCTCAAATGAAGGAGAAGTGGAAAGGGAAATGGCCTTGAACAGAAAAGACTGTACACTTGAGGCAGCCTTGCTCCATAGCAACCTGCTCTTGATAGAATTAGCAGAGTCCGGTTCTGACTACTTATGCTCTCTTAAAGTCATGCCCCTGGGACCCCACTTACCTGTCTCCAAGGCTTCTCTACCTCAGTGCTGTTAAATTGGAGAATTCAGCTTCAGCATGAGTTCTGATGAAGCCAAACTATACTCAAGCCATACCAGTAGCTCACAGATATCTGGAAAACTAGGTTTAGGAAACAACCAGAAACTACCATCAGAAACAGAACAAAACTCAAGTGAAAAAATGAATCCAAAGAGCCTTTCTGAGGAATGAACACTTCAGCTTACACCCCCATCCACTGTGGACACTAATGTTGTTCTTGCTGTTCTCTAAAATACCAGAAAGAAGACCTCAGGGTATCAGATACTCCCAGTTCCAAACCTAGTTGACTGAGCTTGGATCACATGATGGTTCTTTCACTTGAGAAAACTAAGAATGTGTCTGGTGTTTACAGTTCCTTTAAAGTAGGCCTCAAATATAAGAACTACTGGTCAAAAACTTGACCTTATATTACAAGAGGGCTCACATGATGAATTAGCAAAAATAATTACATTTACCCTGTATAGTTTCAATAAATATGCAAAGTTTGATACTGGATGTATAAATTGGATCAATTTAGAAACAGAATAAGTAGTTACTTCTAGACTAGCACTTCATAATAAAAATATATAGTGAATAATATGTGGAATTTGCTATTTAGTTGGCACCTACATTAAAAAGACAGGTAAAATTAAACAGATAAAATTAACTTTTTAAATATTTTAATCCAACGCATCAAAATATTGTAATTTTAACATTTACCCTGTTTGGTTAAATGGCATTATTTTTGGCATTATTTTTCAGTACTGAGTCTTTGGAATTCAGTAGTCATTAAAATCCCCATTACAGTGCATCCCTGGGTGGCTCTTAGCCACGTGTGACCAGGTACCATCATCATTGTCACGTCAGATGGTACACACCTAGACAAACAGCAGTTATTGATGGGATCATCTGCCCAGTGTGATAATGTGAACCATTTATTCTTAGCTTTTGAATGACCAGAAATTCGTTCATTATTATTATTACTATTTGGTTCTGGCATAAACAGCCATCCAATAGTGACTTAGGAGTCTGCTCTGAGCTGTGAGGGATACAGAAAACATGTAAGAACAGAGTAAATGAGCTGGAGCAAACGATGGCTTTATCATTTGAGTGGCTGAGTTTCAGAAGCTTGTATGTATTTGTTTAACAAGTGTGGTAAGAAGGGTAGGTTTAAGTTTTGATGATATTTTCATTTAGACTGAGGCTGCGCGAGTGGAGGAGATGCAATGAGGAGAGAGCATAGGGGCACAAAATAAAGCCAGTGGTGCGTTCCTGGTACACATCAACATCTAAGATTAGAGAAAAGGATTGAGGGTGCATGTTCATAATGGTAAAATATCTGGCCAAGAAAAACCCAGCTTTTCAGAAGCCAAGCATTCCCCATTGCAAAATTATATTCTTCTTGGAAAGCTAACTGATTTTGGAGCCATTTCCCTACTTGTGTGCATTGGTTCCACTAAAATCAAATCATGTTTGAAGAAGTTTTTTCATTAGACACTCCACATGAACCAGAATTCTTTTTGGTCCTGGTCAGTTCCTATTCCCGTTTCACACATACGCTCCCCTGAATCTTCTACCAGTCTCCTTTAGCCTCCTACCTACTTCTTCCTTCCTGCCCCGTCAGTAGCTGATTGTTCCTCTTACTTTAAAGAAAAGATAGCAGCCCTCAGGCTGGAACTCCTCTCCTTCCTCAACTCCTTCCCACACAAAGATTATTTCACTGTGTATTCACCCTCCACTGGATGGAGTTTGGAAGAGCCTAATAAGTAACACCGCTGTTCTCCCCATTGCTTTGACCCTACCTGAGTTTTCAGCCAGCTGAGAGATAGAGATAGAAATCAGGGAGCGTGTAAAAATCATCTCCAAGATTCCATCATCAAGGAATGTGGCAGAGGCCTGTGGTCAGCAGGGCTTAAAGTCGCAAGTGAAGGATCCCATTTGCTGCTTTATTTGTAGCGAGGTTTCTAGAAGCCATCTCTGTTTATAGAACACACACTTCTCAGAATAAGACAATGCGGCTTCTGATCCAGTTCTACTGGTGCCGGGATCCTTGCAGCTGTTCCCAATTCCCTCCACAGTTGCTCAAACCCAGGGAGACTGGCCAGCCCTTATCTCTCTTGAGCCCCGAGTGTTTCCTTATGCAACTGCCTTCTGTTTTTCTCTTTCAGTCTTTCTTGGCTTTTTCTCTGCTTCCTCGGGCTTTTTCTTCTCTAGCTGTCCTGTAAATATTTGCATTTCTCGGGGATTCCTCTGCTGACTTTCTCTTCTGATTCGCTTCTTCCTCCGCATTCTCTTCAGGTCATCCCATGCATTTCTGCGAGTTCAGTTGTTGCTATGTTAGCTCCTCTCCTAGCCTTCTTCTCTGTCCTGCTGAATGCATCCTTCTCAGTGACCTCCCCAGGAGCTCGTCCTGGTCATGATTACAACTTTTCTTCCACCCCTGCTGTAAACACTACATTCTCTCCTCGTGTGTTCTTGTGGTAGAATGTAAACCAGTATCATTCTTTTGGCTAATTTCTACACCTTCTCTCCCTTATTGCTAAGAAAGGACGGGAGATACATTCATCCCTGCTGATCTTTGACTCCTAAAAGAGGCAGCATCTTCTGAATCCTCATGTGACCTCAGAGAAGGGATGTCCTGAGCTTCTCTTCTGCCATGTGGTAATCACTGTCTTTATGGGAGAGAAAGTTAAATTCAGAGAAATACAATTTATGGCAGACCATGAATCCAAGTCATGTCTGCAGGCTCACCTTGATCAATAATAAAGATATATCTCACTGCCATTTTCCTGCCCTCACTCCTAATAGGATGAGTGTTTTGACAAGGAAACCATACAGCTGCCTATAGAAAACAAAAAAGTGGGAGAACAGTGAAGGAAATTCTTATTTCCCGCTATTCAGGTTCCCAGTTCAGAAACTTCTTTTACAAGTTATTTCGGATTTTTCTCCATGCTCTTATTCTTCAGTGAAGGAATGTGAAGTCACTTATCCGTTTAAAGTCAATTTGGTAAAAGGATTGGTCTTGCAAGATATTTCTCCTTCTGGATCTTTTGAATTCAGGTTCCTGCAGAGAAAAACAAAAAGAAAGAAAACAAAACAACACCAAAACCTCTGGCCCACTATCTGTGCAGGAAAAGGCCTGTCTCTACAGGAGGTGACTGTAATTTGGAGTATCCAGTGAAAGAATGGTAGCAAATCCATTTAGCCACATAAGTAACCTTTTCTATACTGCTTCTTGATAATCAAATTATTATTTTGTTATTCATGTGATTTCTATATATTTCTCCTAATTGATTCCAAACTCAGCTGGGAAAGAAATGAAATGCTACTTATCAGATCACTCAGGTCCTGTCAAATACCCCAAATTTCTCATACATTTACCTTTCTTAACATGAAGTATGAGACACCTCCCCCCCCCCCCGCTCCATAGACAATTCCGCTTACATTCAAGAAGCTTCTGTGGACTTCCCACTCTGCTCAGTTTTATAGATACAGAATAAGTGAGCTGTAAGCCGTGTATGCCAGAAGTTAGCAGTTCAGCAGTATGTTTGTATTTCAGATGGCATTTTGGGATAAAGTCCTATGGTACATTTCTTTATGAGAAGATCAAAACTATCAAGCAGAACTCAACAGAAAAGCAAGACTTTTTAAATTATGGCCATTGCAATGGTAGCTGACTAGATAAGGACAGAAAGACAGTAACTGGGAAAGTTGCAGAGTCATATGGCTAAGAAGAGGGCTAGATAAAGAGAGAAAATGAGAAGATGTCTCTGGCAGAGAAGGTCATCACACACCTAACTAGAAATAAGATGGTAACAATGCCTGGAGGCTTGCAAGTAAATGTCTGGGAGAATCATAGGCGTTCACGGTGAGTAGGGACGCAGCATGGTAATCAACAGAATCCTAACGACTGGGATTGTTTTACAGATCGATGGGCGACACCACGTTGATCATTTTAGCCATGCGTCCAGACCATTTCACAGGACACAGAAAGATACATGTCCTCCATCAGCACTGAAAGAGACCTCCTCGGAAAGAATTTGTTTTGTCATACAAGACAAATGAATTCTGGTAACTTAAAGTGAAAATTTCATCCCACTGTTAAACTGAACCTCAAATAAAATGCTGCTTATAACATCTAAGATATCTTTGCCCTCAATTTGGTCACTTAGAAGCAGTGTGGAATAGTTGAAATAACATGGCTCCAACAATGCTGGGCTTCAGAATCAGACATTTTAAAGAAAGCTCATAAGACTTGGAAGCAGGCACAAGGACTAATGCATTAATTTACATAGAGTTAATTTTTTGTAACTCATTTTCAAAAAAACCTCTAATTTCACTCATATAAAAAATAACCAAAACAGGTGATACGATTTTTTCCTATGTTTTAAATTTTAAAAGTCCCATCTGTCACTAATTACACATTTATTTCATTATGCACCGCTATGAAAATAATTACTTGAGGTTTTTTGTTGACAATTTAGAGTTTAAAGTAAATACTAATTATTTTTGTTATAACTGGGTATTAAATTAAATAATTCACTGCTAGACATTTTTGGGGCTTCAAATAATTTTATTAGAGGCACATATGAAAGCAATTATGTAATTAGTGACACATCTGCCAAGCTTGTAAGTCCATCTTATAAAATTGGAAGACATGTTTTTTCCTTTCCATTCCTCCTCTTTTAGAAGCAAAGATGGCTACTTCATGCACAGCCCCAGATTTTATAATGATGTACGTGGCTTCCCAGACAACTGGTTGTCTCGGTCACTCTTTCAAAGTACCGATGACTCCAAGCAATTAACTCTCAGAACTATGGTAGCCTTGAGTTGAAGAAAGCATATCTAGATAACTGTGGTGATTTATACTTTAAGTAAATTCCTTTAGAAATGAAAATATCTTCCCACAAACTCCAACCAGAAGTTGCTGTGAGATCCATTTGGAACTTGTGCTAATAATAATATTTTCTGGAATAATAACAACAGGTTTGGATTTAATTAAATATGTTGCTCACAGAAGCATCTGTTTTAAACATTCATGAATGGCAGTTCCTATGGGATATCCAAATGGAAGTGTTTTCACTCCACAGTGCTATCCTAAAGTGTGTTTGGGAATTTTCAAATAATTAGCTGGTCTTTGTTTTGGGAGACTTACCCAGGATAAAAACGAGGTCCTTTCCTCAGATGGTACTGATAGATGGAAGCCAGTTAGGGAGATACCATCAATCACTGGGGCAGGCTCTGCAAAACTGTTGTGCAATCCGGAGCAATAGGAGGTGAGTTTTTCTTCATGTTCACACATAACTCTTATTATTATTCATGAGAGTTATGCTCTTATCAAGGAAAGGATACATCCCTTCCCAATTAGGCTAAGCTGCTTTTGGCAGAAAGCCATTAAAAACAGCAGACATGGAGCTCCAATGTCTGTGGCGAACCTTTCAAGACTTGGAAGCCACTTTTAAACTATTATTAACATGGTCTGATTGGAAGCATTAAATGAATAGAAAATGTCTGAATTCATGGCTTACTTGTCACTTACAATAAGTTGTATCACTAAGAATTGTTTGTAAAATGCCACTGTTCTTATAAGGTTTTATTAAAAACGAGTTGCTAGATGTAAGTTCCACACAAACATGATTATTTCTTATCAGTCAATGCATCCTCAGCACATAGATCACTACTAGGTATAATGTTTGCTGAATAAATGATTGAATGAGACTAACATATGCAATTCAGTAAGCATTTGTGGTGGCTCTGCTGCTAGATGCTAGATATCATTAGGAACCGGGACATACAGATTATGTCTCTCTCTCTCTCTCTCTCTCTCTCTCCCCCTCTCTCTCTCATATATATACATATAGAGAGAGAGAGAGAGAAGGAGAGATTCTGTTGTCAAAGTGTTTACAATATCTCAGGTAACATTAACATATGACAAGTCATTTGTTATGCTGTCAGCACAAGGATAAAGTAATGCATAGCATTCTGGGTAGTACAGAACTTATGTGAGTTTATGGGTGTTATGGTACATAATATCTTAAATAATTTGATCTGCAAAGAAAGGCTAAGGTTTGGATGAAACTGAAAAAACAGATGAAATATTCCTGAGTGTGATGGTCAAAACTGGGGCTTTGGTTTTGACAAATACACCTTCAAAGGGGTGAGTGAAGTCTTCTGCAGTCAGCCAAAAGCCTTGACGATGACTCTGGACTGTATGGGAGGATGGCGGATAAAAACTCCTGGGGCAGAACAGGCAGCGACCACGCTGAGGGCACATGTGCTGGACTCATGGTTATGTATGGATCTCTTCAGTTTTTACTTCATGATTGTCTTTTACAGACCCTTTTACCAACAGGAAAGACAATGAGGTGTCAAACTAGATTTTAAAGCATTGGATGCAGGCCTCGTCCTCACAGCTCTAGCAATGGCAGGACGACCCCATTGGACAGACTGGTAGACATTTACCAATATGCCATGCCCTTGCTCTCAATTCTCACCAGAGGAGCACATCTGCTGCTAAACTAATCCACAGGCCTCATACACGGATGCATTCAATTTGATAAAATTCATATGGACAAAACTTTGCTTCCTATCTATAAAATGAGATCGTCAGAGTCAGGGACCTGTAAGGACGCTGTTTGTAGCTTCCCTTGCTTTCAGTCCAAAGTTCCAGAGGCAGTCAATTTGGGGTGATTGCACTTTCCCTCTACCTCTCCCTACCATCTCTTCATTTCCTTTTCTTCCTATCACTCTGGACACTGAGGATTTCCTTGAGTGCAGGTGTGATATCCTATTAATCTTTGTACTTCTATGTCTCATAACACATTTGGGCCATAGTACGCCCTCAGTGAGTCTTGAATAAATGAAGGAATAAAAGTGGTAACATCTATATAACAACAAAACTGTGAGTTTCTTTGAGTGATTTCAAAACAATTTAAGATAATATCTTCCACCTTTAAGAATTTATATTTAACTTAGGTGAAAAGGCCTTCTCACACATAGCAGTTAAAAAATATAAGCTTATTTAATCCTCACAAGAATTATGATACTGTAAACATAGCATAACAATAGCATCAGGCTTTTATTGAGGACTTTTTATCCATCCAGGCTTTTAATTGGATTATTTCATTTAATCCTCACAACAATTAGGAAGTAGGTTCTAAAGCTGTCTCCACTGTATAAGTGAGGAAATGCAGAGTAGTTAAGCAACTTACCATGTCACAGTTGAGAAAAGATTTGAATGCATAGTGTTTTGATCTAGAATCCATATTTTTGATGCGTTGATAGAGTATTTTCCTCTGTCCAACATGAAACACACAGACACTCACACAATGCTCGCTGAGTAAGTGCCCTTAGTGAACTTGTCCTGCAATTCATATCGCTTCTTTAGCTGCCAAGATGATTGCAGTAACCATTGGTGTCTGGCCCAAGAACTTCCAGGAGTCAATATGGCCAGCACTTGCTGAGGTTATTTGGTATTAGAGCTCTGACAAACAGGTTTAAACGATATGTTTAATAAAATAAACAAGATTTTTCATTTGATGATAGTCATAATGCACAAGACTATCAATAGGTCAAAATTAAAACACACACATGAAAGCAGACCACGAAGGCATGTAGCCAGCACCATCATATGGAAGTAGAGGAGAGGATGAGGTTGCTGTCAGCCACTGAGATAAAAACACAAACTGGGAAAAAGATCTTTTGCAAATGGAAAGAGGACCAAAGAACTGGAGGGAGAGGAACGGAAGAAGAAGGGGGTCATAAAAAGAATTCACATGTGTTACATGCACATACCAATTCCCCGTGATGCATGTAATCAGTATGTAGTACAAGTATGTACTAATAAAAATAAACATTTAATACTGAAAAAGAATGCGAGAAAGGCTCATATTGTTGATAAAAGAACAGTAAGTGTCAACAAATCCTTCTATGACCATAAACTACAGATAAATTGAAATCCAAAATTGAAATCCAGAGCAGTGTTGGAAGACATTATAACATGTATAACTGCCAGAGACATGGGCTGTGCTTGGCTTCGGTGCCATGATGCTTGCATGTATGGCTTAAATGCCTGTAGTCTTACTAGCTGTTACCTGTATTAGCTTCCTTTTGCTACTGTAACAGACTCCCATGAATTTGGTATACACATCATCTTACATTTCTCTAGGCAGAATCAAAAATGGGGATTCAGTGGGCTAAATTCAGGTGCTGGCAGGGCTATGCTCCTTCTGCAAGCTCTGAGAAAGAATTTGTTTCCCCTAGATTTTGGAAGCAGCTTGCATTCCTTGGCTCCTGGCCTCATCCTACTTCTTCACTGCCAGTCATACAGTACCTTCTCATTCCTCAGTGACTCTTACACTAACTGTTTTCCTTCCCTCTTCCACATCTAAGGACCCTTGTGGTGACAGAAAGATCGCGACACAATCCAAAGCATGCTCTCTCTCTCTCTCTCTCTCTCTCTCTATCTCTCTCTGATGATCAGCTAGTTAGCAACTTTAACTGCATTGTTCCCCCTTAATAAAGGAAGTGGATTTCATTTCCTCATGTCATGAACCATCACATGTTCACAGGTTTTGGTGTTTGGAAGTCAGTGTCCTTGGGAGGCCATTACTGTGCCTGCCATCTCACTTACATTCTTAAAGTAAGCTTTATAACACTTGAGCAAATCGAAGTGAGTCTGGGTTTTGCAACCACAGAAGTTAACAAAACATGGCTTTTTCATATTTTGCTGGTCTGAGAGACCACTACCATTGTGACTAAAATGTCTTGGCTCACCAGTTGCAACTCCACCTGATTACTCATCTTCTTCTTCCTGGTTTGTCCTTTCTTCCTCATGCCTGTTGCTCTCTCACTTTTCTGATCCTCTATGGTGAATTCAGCTCACTCAGAGCAAGTTCAGTGAAGCATGGCAGTGGGGAGTTGCAGTGAATGGGAGAGGAGATAGAGGCCGTGGGCCGTGGACACACAGAAGCCCTGAGTACATGGGTCTTCTGGGGAGATTTCACAAAGGAGGAGGCAGCAGTTAAGCTCAGTCTGGTTCACTGTGCTGTTGACTGACTATATGGAGTGGACTCAGAGCAGGCAGATGTGATGGTAGAGCCAGGAACTGTACCCCAGTCTTCT